TTTGAAGCCAGCCTATCGCTGAATGGTATCTATTTCATCCATGACGTTAAGTGTTATGAACAGATGCAAGGAATTGAAATGGGCTCTTGCTTAACTCAAATATTGGTGAGGAAGGCCTAATACAAGAAATAATTTTGACGGCTGCATAAAAATGCGAAAGAGCCTGCGTCTTTTGGTGAAACTGACCTAAGAATCTCTTCATCCTGTACATCCATACGAAATGAAAGTCTTCACACCAATCTAACGAATTTTGCTAAGATATGGTATGTGTATGTAATGATGAAATGGACAAATGGAAAATAAATTGCTTAGTATAAAGAATTGCTGAAAAACCCTCGACATATGGCCTTTCAAAGTTGCATTAGAAGGCGAGTCCGCTTAGATTGAATGCAATCAACGATGTTAGTGTTATGCATAAAATCTCACTATTTTTATGCTGATAATTAGAAAAAGTGACCTAATTTAGGATATTTTTGACTAAAAACAATTATGAATTTGTTAAATTAATGGGAATTTAAAGTATTTCTGAAGCCGGCGTAGTATTAATGTATACGAATTTCTGAAGCAGACGTAGTATTAATGTATACGAATTTTCCAGTTCAGGGGTCTAGTCAGGCTCTAATGCTCACCGTGGACGAGCACCTTGGCAGATCATGAGGGATTTAGTTGAATATTGCTTCCAGTCTAAAGCTTCTTGATCTATCGAATGTGGTAGCTGTTTCATCTTTGACGTTAAGTGTTATGAACATACACAAAGCATTGCAATGAGTTCTTGCTCAACTCAAATTTTGGTGAATATCTACATGGAAAGGATTGAGGAGGGCTTAACACAAAAAGTAATTCTGATTTCTAAATTGTTTGCTAGATATTTGAATGATTATTTTGTGATATGGCAGTATGAATGACAGTTTAGACGGTTCCATATTTTCACTTTACCAGCCTGAAAGAAATATTAACTTCACGATGGAATTTGAAGAAAATAGGAGATTACCTTATCTGGATGCTATGGCTATTAGGAAAGATGGTATGTTAGTCAGAATTGTATATAAGAAATCAACATTAGCTGGCTTTTTTCTTAATTTTTTTTCTAATCATAGTTAGTATGATTGGAACTTTACAATAGACGATTATTACGAGTACGAGACATGTTGAGCTTATCAGCCGAAACAGGTGTGCGTGTCTACACAATCCCGGCTATGCTTCTCCTTGGGTCATTAAGCTTTAACCCAAAGTATAAAAGAATAAACCAAACCTTTGTATATCCATTTTTATCTAAATTTTTTCTCATAATTTGTATATACAGATCACATAGATAAGACCCGGACAGTTTTTTGGACTTAGTTGACTTAACTATTTTGAAAAAATGAGTCCCATCCCTAACGATGTTCGCAATGCTTCATGACGAACGAATTTCTGGAGTCGGAACGCGGACATTAGTATAAGTTTCTCCAGCATCATCAGTGAGCCTTGCCATTTTTTTATCATCACACCACAACTCATCAGAGGCAAGTCAAGCCCATCCTTTGACAAATTGTCTGCGAAACAATTGTGGTATGTCTCCTGTCTTGGATCATTCATCTATCCTATATCCTCCTATCATCCCTTCAATATCACAATTGCTTACTTGTTTATCCAAACTTATTTTAAACATATTCACATTCCATACTGGTTTCCATATCCCTCTCACAAGTTTGTTTAGGCAGTATACAAAGGTTTCGCTAATCCTGCCTACTTCAAGTCTCTGTTCATTAGGTTTCTTTCAATCAGGATTTCAATGGCTTCTCGTATCTTACGTTTTCTTGTATTCCCACAATATGAAGCCAGCCTTTCTGTCGATTTCCACTCGATTCCGTGTCCCGTCCGTGTGATGAGTTGCGCTATTTCAGATCTTTCAGTGTTCCTTGATTCGTAAGCTAATTTTTCTTCCTCTTTCACCAACATACTTCTTCTCACAGTTGCCACAGTTGATACTATAGATTCCCGAGCAATCCAGTTCGTCAACCTTCTCGTGGTGTGTCGGCAGGCTTGTAAAGAGTGTTGTATTTTCTTCTGTTATCATCTTGATGTTACATTTTCTTAACAATGGTATCAATTTCTGGCTCAGATTACAGAAGGGTAGGTATATCCAGTTTTGGTCGTCCTACCGATTTTAAACCTATTCTTTTAAAATCCTAGTTGAAATTTGCTCTTTATGACCACTACACTTCTGTCGATAAATTTTCTAAGGTATTCGCTACTAAGGCCAATCCGAGTCAGTTTCTCCAACTCCTTGTTCCAGAACTCAGTGTCCGTTAGTCTTAAGCTTCTGATGATCATACTCCTCATTATTCCGATCTTCAGCCTGTAGTTGTGATGAGACTGGATTATGAGGGTTATTCCTGAATGTGATTTATTTCTGAATAGTCTCCTCTTGAGTATTCCGTTGGAGCGAATGACCTCAATATTCACGAAGGGTAGTCGTTCATCCTCCTCCATCGCCATTGCGAATTTAATTCTTCCATCAAATTGGTCTATAAAATTGAGGAACTCACCCAAATTTTCTTTAACATGCGACCAAAGTGCAAAGTACTCATCCGGCTAGCTCATAAGCAATTTTGGTTGAGGCGGTGACTTCGCGAATTCCTTCTCCAACCTGTTCATATATACATTTGCCAAAGAGGAGAGAATAGATCCCATCTGTAGTCAATATATTTGCTCATAGATACTGCCATTGAATGTAAAATGTGGTACTTACTGTCAGGTTGATTAGTCGCATCTGAGAATGTGCAAAGTCCACGGTACGACTGTTGAAATTATCATGCATACTATGGACTCCGGACAAGGTGTGTTCCTCTATATGATCCTGCCAATATGACCAAGTTACTAAAACAAGATCAAACAACTTCTATACAACGAAAAGAGACCACGAACATATAAAAAGCCACACTATCCTGGTCTTCAAATCTCCGATTATCGGCTTATCCCCGAAAATTGTAGATATACTATATTCTAAATTTTTATTAGGAATAGAGCAATTTACTTTTGGAATAAGTAGTTTCCGAGACTATCAGTAATTATTGAATAATAACTAGATTACTCAAGGCACTTTAAATACCGATAATGAATTTTCCCATAATTGAGATGAGTAGACCTCACGATATTATTGAATTTCAATTAGTCTTGCCTCCGAAAAAGCTATCTCATCAAGGGTGGACTACTACTACCGCTTATACCTTTTGCATATATGATTCTACGAGTCGATTAGATATCCGTGTAAGGATTACCAGGATCAATTAGCGTCTACATCGTAAGAGCTAGGTCTCATTTTTGCAAAAGCCTCAAGTTAACATTAAGCCAATTAGTAGATATACACCATATAGATAAGAGCCTATAAATACAAGCTGGGTTTCGAATAATCCCTTAATATATTAACATTGGTGTACCTTTCATTTGGTTTGAGAAGGCGGGTCGAAGGGATTCTTAGATTGGCCTCATCGGATACCGCAGGAGGGTTGCCTTGGACTTTTGTCTGTTGAGCTATGCGAAGAAAACCTCGGCTCCCCATCCTACGACCCCGATGACTCCGTATTGAGCTTTCGTCCGTCATGCGACGGACATCGTCATAGCCAGAAACCATTATTCAACAAAAAACACTAAACTGAGATAGGTGGCCAGCTGAGCTCCTAATTACTTTTTATACCTTAATTTGCGATCTTACTGCGGAATTCTATGCTTTGGTTGGCTGACGTATGCTTGTCCTACATGCATCTAGGTGAGTCAAAGTGATGTAGGCAGGGGAGCGGATGTGGTCACAACTTTTGTCCATGTAAATAAACTAGAGTATGATCCAGTTTTTGTCGTGCTTACTTCCATTTCAAGTGAAAGTGTTTGGTAAAGAGATTCGAAGGTCGATTCCACTAGAAGACTTCACCAAACACCTTCACTCGAAATGGAGGTAAGCACAACAATTATGAAACAAGAGATTCTTCGAAACCCCATTTTTTTCGCATATGATCCAGTAGTCCTAGGTTTTGTTACAGTTTCGTGGATGCGTGTTTGCGTGTGTATGCATGGTTCGAGAAAAAATTAAGAAGGAAACCAGCATCTGTGAGTTACCCATATACATCGTTCTTTAGTGAAAATTTTCAAAAACCTAAAAATCAACTTTGATCGACCATAAAAGAATCGTGATCTTTTATGCATCAAACCGCCCTTATTATTTGCAATGATCCTAAGTGGAACCTCTTCTTTGTGGATTTTGGGCAGACAATATGCATTAGGTCTAGCGTCCCGTTGGAGAAGTGCATTTATTTTCCATTTCTCCAATTCGCCACTATTAACACACTGTTGCAGGCAACTCCTAAGCCTCGAATTTAGTGTTTCTGTAGTGTCCTTACTTATAATTATATACGCGTCAGAATCAGCTAAAGCCAGCATTATCTTTTCTATATAATCGGTCCTATCCATTACTACCACTGTTCTTCCTTTGTCTGCCCTCAAAACTATTTGCTCGTGTTGTCTAAGCTTCTTTGTGGTCGTAGTAACACATCTATTCTTATTTTGTGGTTCTACATGGTTACCAATTAGAGGACAACCTGTATTTCAATCTTCTAGTTTATTCTGCCAATCGGTTAATAAAGTTAACAACCTTTATAAAAAATATCATCAGTTAAGCTCTTACTATTTGGCAAAGGATAATACTTCTAGATAGAACTTTCTCAGTAGTGCTATCCAATGATGTTTTGGACAGGTTAACCATTTTCCGAGCTATCTTAATGTTCACATCCGTTCCTCTGCCTACATCACTTTGACTCACTTAGATGTATGTAGGACAGGTAGACGTTAGCCAACCAACCTACGGAATGCCGCACTAAGATCGCAAATTAAGGTGTAAGAAGTAAGTAGGAGCTCAGCTGGCCACCTTTCTCGGTTTAGTGTTTTTGGTGAATAATGGTTTCTGGCTAGGACGATGTCCGTCGCATGACCGACGGAAGCTCAGCACGGAGTCACCAGAGTAGTAGGACGGTAAGTCGAGGTTTTCTTCGCATAACTCAACAGACAAAAGTCCAAGGCAACCCTCCTGCGATATCCGGTGAGGCCAATCTACGAAGCCCTTCGACCAGCCTTCTCAGACGAAATGAAAGGTACGCCAGTAGATAAGAGCCTATCAGTCTTCTTGGCATTGTGTTTATTTGGCGCTTTTCAAGAATGAGTCCCAGCTCTGACGATGTTCGTCATATGGCGGACGAAAGCCTAGCCCGCCTTCGTTCGAAACGTTCGAGAATGTCTCGTGGACTACACCAACCTGAACGTTGAATTAACATCAAAAGACTGCAGTAAAACGCAAATCAGCCAACGTCTTCTGGTGAGATTGACCTATGAATTTCTTTATCATGTACTTCCATACAAAATGGAGGTCTTCAAATCAATAGGATAAAGCTTCCAAACGACATCTGCCACAATTCCAGAGGATATAGGTTTTTATAAAGATATGCTAGGTATTTGGGTCATGGTACTACAAATTCAGGGAAGACAAATTAATGACATGCATGTCCGAGCATTTATAGGATAAATCTTAGCCGGGAAGTAAAATACTCATAGTAGCCCATTCTGCAAAAGGACTAAAGAATAGACGCAACGCAAATTTGCTCAGTAATACTCCTATCTCAAGAACAAAGAAGTAAGTGCTGAATGTTTAGCCCTAACTACGAATCGTAGGGGATACATTTTCATCAGAGCCCACACTTCCAGCTAAAATAGGTGCCCAAAATGAAAGTAAGCCACATTTTCTAATCTATTATATCATAATTTATTCCATGGAGCAGAATTTGGCACTCCGTTGGAATTATTACAATGGACTCTAACTGCTCCAAGCCACCATGCTTTCTGCTGTCACATGAGCCCATAAGAAAGCAATTTATGGTTACCTAAAACACTTATAAAGAAGGATACCTTAATTGACATATTCATGTATGCGAACGGACTAAAAGTATTTTGTAATATACACACTCAAGTATTCATCACAAGTGAAGATATTTTACCACCGAATTCAAACTAAATCAGCCAAAACGATAATTTTATAGGTTGTGTAGGGCTGATCTTTCCACCGAATTTAACATAGCCTTACTTTCCCAACCTACTTACTCACAAAAAAAGTAATGTCATTGATTGTTATAGCAAATATAAGTTTGCTTCGTCGACAATCCCAACACAGAATGTAAGATGGAAAATGCCTAACATTCCATGAAATTCACATATGCCCTCTGACCCAAAGACATTCGTGGCATTGTGGCGTAGTGGTTAATTTGTGGAGCTTACACACTGCAATGTCATGGTTCGACTCCCGCTTGGGGTGTTGATAAGACCTATGAGAGGTCGAAACTGGACGAGCCTTTGGGGAAAGCAAGGCTGTGAAATTCAATTAAAAACATCAGCTCTACTCATATCATTGTGAGAAAATTCGACCACTAGTTCTTCATCACCTTAAACGAAATAGGATGAATACAACTCATTTATCTGATTTACTGGTAGTCTTAAAAAACCTTCTCAATCAAGAAAAAAAGTTTTCAGATTGCCTCAAAATAATTAATATATTCTAACTTATGTGGATTTGAAAGGAGCATAAGCTATGCAGTCACAGAAACCGATATGATTCCTACCCCAAACAAATTATTCTGACGGCTGAGAAAAAAAACTAAGATTTATTTTTAAATAGAAATAAAGATTATTTCAGGAAGCAAGAGCCAATTTTGCCAGGATTCAACATATACTGTTGTGAGGTCAAAATTAATTTTGCTGTTTTTATTTCAGTAACCCTAGAATGAACTATAAATCAAAAGACAAACCTATATTTGCATCATGGGTCCCTGTATTCGTTTTTGTCTTGGATGGCCAAAACATTTACAGTAAGATGGATGGAGGTTTTGAAGTATTAGTAACGGACGAGCCTCTTCAAAATAATTTTTATAAATGAATTTATATTGCCGTACAAAGATTGAAATACCTACCACCTATTTATATTGCTAGACAAGTTTACAAATACGAAATTGGTAACATTATTGCGAGATCCCAATCAAACCTTTACGTCGTGAGAGAAGTTATTGGCATATAGACAGTAAAAAAACAAATAGAGAAAAACATACATTCAGACGAGCACATGATAAGATAAATGTGGATGGACACACTTGCCTGCATTCGCACGCGAATACAATCTATTGGGTTGATTATGACGGCAGCTGAAATTCCAGCCATTGGGGCAGCCAGCAGCTGAACGGCGAGTCGCGGAACCTGGAAACCTAAAAGCCCGTAGGCCGGAAGCTCGGATATTCGGCTACTAGGCGTATTTGTCTTGTCAGTCGATGAGGGAAGAGAAGCCAAGCTGAAATAGCCATCTGCTACCTTTGACGATGCAGTGGTGATAGCAGGGTCGGGAGATGAGATGGCAACAGAAGATGAAGAGGAGCAGGGCGGAATAACACAAGAAGTAGCAGGAGAACCAAGGCTGGCTAGCGCATTGGAAAGAAGAGCTGGAGGTAGAAGCGGGAAAAAAATAATAGAAGCAAACAGGAACGCTGAGTAAGAAGAAAAATATTGGGACAGGAATATTGAAGTCT